GTGAAAGTGAACCTGCCTTCAGAGCCATACTGCCGGGCCAGGATGACCTGGAGAGAAAAGCCTTCAGTGTTACAGGGGGATGGGGCTGGAAGGAAACAGGGCTTCAGGCTCTCAGTGCCTCAAAAGTTGGCAAACAGAGCCTTAGGCACCTCGCAACATTAAAAGGTCTAGAGCTGCTCAGCAGCAGTTGCCCAAGCCTTGTCTGAGAACCTTCTGGGGCAGAGGTGAAGCGTCTGAGATGGAGCTGACACGTGACTGCTCTTGGGAAGGGCTCTTTATTGGAGCTCCTGCCATTTCCGCTCTTTTGGTGTGGTTCTTTTCTTAAACCAAAGGTGGCAACTAAAGATTTTTTTTCTTTTGCTTTAATATTCGTCGAAATTAAAAGCCGCTCATTGGTTTTGGAAAGCACCCCGTTCTGTGAACTCCTCAAGTCTAGACGTCACAGCATTAGAGTTAACGAAATTCTTTGATGGCCAGCACCACAATTAACCCACGAACCACGCCTACAAGACAGGTGCATTTCCATCTCACAGGCCAGGAAAACGGCTCGGGGCAGGGAAGGGGGCTTGGCCGAGTCACGCAGCAGTCGGGAAGAAGCTGAGAGGAGCCGCTAGCCTTATAGCAGCCCAAGTTTGGCCTAGAGCGAAAATCCGGGATCTTCTCACCAACCCCCAACGACCGCCAGCAGTTGAGCCGCTGCGGCGAGTAGGAGGGAAGTACCAGCGCCCGCCTGGTCTAGCGGTGAAGTGCGGAGTGGAGGGCTCGGCGGGGCTCAGGGGCCGGCTCACCTTGTCCTCTGGGTCCTTCACCTCCACGAACATACCAAGCCCGGGGGTGGCCGGCTGGTACTCCTCCCGCTGCTTGTCATACAGCTGTGTCCGGTAGTTTCCTGGAGGGAAGCGGGGCGAACCCAGGTCAGACGAGCGCGAGGTGGGGTCGAGTCGGCCCTCGCCAGGACGCGGCGAGACCGGCTGCTCCCCGCTCTGGAAGAGCGGACTCTCCCGCGCCCCCCGCCCCAAGACCAAGGTCTTGTTCCAAACTCTCCCCTTCCACCCGCACCTATAACCATGGTCTCGTCCGGAATCTCCTCAATAAAGCACTTCTTTTCGGTCTCCCCGATGTGGAAGTAAAGTGCGCCTCCGCGGGCCGCAAAACACAGCAGCAGCGCGAGGGCCCTAACCACGCTGCCCAGTCCCGCTCCGGACCGGGGCCCTACGACCCTCACGCCCTGCTCCGCAGCCATCTTGCCCCACCTGCCGGCGCAAGGGCAGCCGGCGGCGCCACGTAGCCCTGCCGCCGCCGCCGCGGGGCCTGCCGGGACAGCGAGTTCGACCGGCTGGACTACAAGTCCCGAGATGCCCCGCGGCCACGGCGAGGCAGTACCTGGTTGGAGAGCAGCTTCTGCCTGCAACCTAATTGCGCCCTCAGAATTGAAACCTTCCTTCCGTTGATCGTGGTGCCGGTCCGGCGACTACTAGTGTTTATCAACTTTTTACAGATGCTGTAAGTAACGCAATTTGTGGTCGCAGAATGAATTATGAGCAGATACAGGATTGAAAACAGGATTGAAACTGAGGATCCCTGACTTGACGTCTCTGTGTCCGACACTTTGGGCTTGCTTCTATTTTTAAAAAAACTGAACTTTGAAAAAGTGACACCAACAGTGCACCAACTGATTTTCGAAAAAAATTCAAATACAAAAAAAAAAAAGGAGCCTAGGAGATTTCTTTTACCACTTCTCTTTCACCTCCAAATTCATCCAATCCTAGCTCTGGTCTGATCTGGTCTGTATGGTACCAGGTATGCCCCTCCTCCCGCCCTGCCCCCGCATCAGCACCAGACGTCGTCCACGCGGGCTTTGCTGCAGAGCTCGGCCGTGGTGACTCCTTTCCGGAACGTGTTTCGGTGCCCCAGTGGCCCTCAGGTAAAGGAGTATTGGTGGGGGTCTTGGGGGCAGAGCCGCCCCGTTTTGGAGGGCTCTGCACTCAATGTGAGGTCAACAGAGGTCTGGGTGTGCCCTTCGTGTCCTTCCTGGATTTTATCCAAATTCCGGTGTATTTTGGCAGCTCTTTGGAGTTAGCAGTTTCTGATTGTGCCACTTCAAGGTTTCATAGAAGTTGGAGGTTTTCTCTCTAATTCGGGTTCTCTTTGTTGTTTCGTTTGGTCTTGGGGAGGGAAGTTTGATGAGGATGTGTTGACATTTCCCCTTCATTGGAAGTCTTTACCTCATTTTTCTCAACAGTAACACTATAACATAATCTTGGTTCATACCTTATTTTTTTTAACCACTCCTGTGATGAAAGTGGTTAAGATTTCTTTCCCCTAATCATTTGCTCTTACATATATTGTACATAAATTTGTGTTCGTTTTCTAAAAAAAGCATTACTGTAGGACATAGTTTTTTGGTAAAATTGCCCTTTCAAACTTCATACCGATTTACAGTCTCACCAGCAGTGGGTTCTTTTTTTTTTTCTTTTAAAGATTTTATTTATTTATTTGACAGAGACAGAGAGGGAGAGCAGGAACACAAGCAGGGGGAGTGGGAAAGGGAGAAGCAGGCTTCCTACCAAGCAGGGAGCCTGATGCGGGGCTTGATCCCAGGACCCTGGGATCATGACCTGAGTCAAAGGCAGACGCTTAACGACTGAGCCACTCAGTCGCCCCCCAGCAGTGGGTTCTTGTGCTTACTTCCGCACACCCTGGTCAAAGTTCTCAACCTTTTTTTTTTTATGTTATGTTAATCACCATACATTACATCATTAGTTTTTGATGTAGTGTTCCATGATTCACTGTTTGCGTCCAGCACCCAGGGCTCCATGCAGAACGTGCCCTCTTTAATACCCATCACCAGGCTAACCCATCCCCCCACCCCCCTCCCCTCTAGAACCTTCAGTTTGTTTCTCAGAGTCCATAGTCTCTCATGGTTTGTCTCCCCCTCCGATTTCCCCCCTTCATTCTTCCCCTCCTGCTATCTTCTTCTTCTTTTTTTTTTTTTAGTTCTCAACCTTTTTAATCTTGCAAAATAATTGAATGAAAAGTTGTATTTCACTATCCTCTTAATTTTTATTTCCTTGGATACTGAGCATTTTTTTGTTGGTCATTTGTTTTCTTCTGTGAATTACTGCTTGTGTTTTTCTTAGTGCTGTTATAACTACATGCTATTAGTGCTGATGTCACCAGGATTCGGAATTAACAAATGATTACAGAATTAACAAATGATAACATTTTATAATAAAATTTTCTATTGCTTTTAAAATTAAACTTTTTATGTTGAGATAATTATAGATTCACATGCAGTTGTAAGAAACAATGCAGAGAGATCCAGTGTACCCATCACCTAGTTTCCCCCATGGTAACATCTTGACCACGTATAATACAATATCACAACCAGGATATTGATATTGATACAGTCAAGACAGGGAACATTTCCATCACCACAGGGATCCCTCATGCTGTGTATTCAAGCCACACCCACTTCCCTATTCCTTCACCCTCTCCTTAACCTCAGACAACAAGTAATCTGTGTTCTCCATTTCTATAATTTTGTCATTTCCAGAATGTTATATAAATGGACTCATAAGGTATGTAACCTTTTGAGATTGGCTTTTTTCCCTCAGTTAATTATCTGGAGAGTTAATCAGCTTATTGCTTATATCAACAATTATAGCAATATTGTAATTACATATTTCTATTTTTTCTCTTTAAGCAACATCCTCTTTTTTTTAAGATTTTATTTATTCATTTGAGACACAGAGATACAGAGAGAATGAGAGCATGAGCAGGGAGAGAGACAGAGGGAGAGGGAGAAGCAGGCTCCCTGCTGAGCCAGGAGCTGGATGTGGGGCTCAATCCCAGGATCATGACCTGAGCCAGAGGCAGATGCTTAACCATCTGAGCCACCCAGGCGGCCCTTCTCTTTTTTTCTTAAGATTTTATTTATTTATTTGGGAGAGAGAGAATGAGCTGGGGGGAGGGGCAGAGGGAAAAGGAAGCTCCCCACTGAGCAGGGAGCCCAAGGGGCAGGGCTTGATCCCAGGACCCCGGGATTATGATCTGAGCTGAAGGCAGATGCTTAACCAACTGAGCCACCCAGTCGCCCCTAATTAACACCCTCTTAAGCAACCAATCAATCAAGAAGAAATCACAGGGGATTTCTGAGAAAAATCCTTAGAGATGAATGATAACAAAAACACTGAAACATATGGGACACAGAGAAAGCAGTGCTAAAAAAGACATTTATAGCTATAAATGCGTACACTCATAAGAAATATCTCAAATCAACAACTTCACTTTACAACTTGAAGAACTAGAAAAAGAAGACCTAAACCCCAAGTTAGTAGAAGAAAGGATCCTTACCCATCTTGTTGGAAATCTCCCCCACTGGGCATTGGACACAGTCAAAGCAGTAGGTGGGCCTGAGACCAGGACCCCAGCCAAAGTCAGATGCTTTACTGACTGAGCCACCTGGGCACCCCCAGGTTGTTCTATTTTTAACAAAACAATTTTGCTACTTGGACAGTCATGTTCCCCCTTCCTAATGTCTGGGTTCTGGGCCTTGAAATCTCACTGGTGCACTATCTCCTACATACATGTAACTGCAAGCATTTTCCACTTTTTACACTTTGGGAGATTCCTGTGAGTAGTCTGGCCAGTGGACCACTGCCATGCAAGAGTGATATTCACAGTGTGGTGTGGGGGCTGGTACTGGTCCATGTTTGTTATAGGTCTGCAATGAGGTAAGTACAGAAATTGACTAAGCGTTTAGGAATTTTTACAGAAATTTAATAGTGATGTGATATCCAAGCACATGATTAGTTTCATATTTTATTGTATTTTATAGGAGTATTGGTTTGTGAGGGATTGCAAATTTTATTAAAAATAAAACAGCCAATGCTTTACTACAGGTGGTGGGTGGTACTGGTCTAGAGAGGAACCACGCTTCAGGACCACGGACAGCACCTCGCTTTCCAAGACTGAATCCTTGCTTTTCTGCCTCTGCTCCCAGCTCTGGCTGCATCCCCTGGTGAACAACTAGCTCCCAAATCTCCAACAGATGCTTTTCAGCTTTTGTCTTACTTGCCCTTTCTAACATATGACTTTTGTTAACATCCGACTCTGCCATTTTTGTTTAATGATCATTCTCAGTGAAGAAATAAGAAATAAAAAACACTGCCAACGAGCTACACCACTAAAATGAGGGACCATTCCTGGTAACTAAAACATATTGCCAATATTTTTTTTAAAGATTTTTATTTATTTATTTGACACACAGAGAGAGCGAGCACACAAGCAGGGGGAGGGGCGGGCAGAGGGAGAGGGAGAATCAGGCTCCCCGCTGTGCAGGGAGCCTGATGTGGGGCTCCATCCCAGGACCCTGAGATCATGACCTGAACCAAAGGCAGACGCTTAACCATCTGAGCCATCCAGATACCCCCATATTGTCAATCTTAAAACACTGTATTGAGATTATATATACATAAAGATCATCATCATCATCGTCATCACCACATATTACTGAATAAACTAATGAGCATCTCTTATCACTGGGCACTAGGAGGTGGAAGACTTCATCCTATTACCTGGGTTGGGCTACAGCTTTCTATTGACATGTTTGGGTCTACACTGTTCTACCCAGGGCATTGTGAACTTTGGAATTCTCGAGACTTGTTTTTTCTGGGTCCCCATTTTGTCATGTTGGCGTCACCCTCCCACACCTTTTAGTTGTGTACCCCTATCCTTTTCCAGTGGCTTGCTTGCCATCTTCTCTTCCTTCCAGGCTCACCCACAACCTCTTTTTGGTCCCAATGCAGAGAAAAGTACACTGGAGGAAGGGCTCTCCTGTTGAAGTGTGCTCGGCACCTCCTGCGCCCTCAGATTCAGTCCAATTACCTCCTCCCTCCATGTTCCTATAACTTTTCTTCCCCCAGTCCCTTAACCGGCCCACTGGCTGCTAAGCAATCCTGGGTCCCCGTGCCTAAACTGCTCTTGTTCCCCGCTGCTCAGGGAGATTTTAACCATCCTTCAAGGCTTGAGTCAAATCTATCTCTACCATGGAAACCGCGACATTTCCCTCTCCCCTTCCTGAATTACTGCTTCAGGGCTTCTCATTCCGTCTCACCATGTCACCTCCTTCCCCCAATCGATTCTAAGCTCTTCGAGGTTCAAGTCCAGGTAATAAACTTCCCATTAGCCCCATCCTTTCCGCACACATCTGGGGTGACTGCCCTGCAAGTTGCAGAAGGCAAGCCCCCTCCCCTCTTTGAGGATGTTACCTCAATCAGCAAGAAGGGCTAACAGCACCCACAGATCCCCGAGTTTCTACGCGGAGTAAGAGATGCGGGCGGTGGAAATCGCTCTAGAGCCTGGCGCAGGTTGGGTCGGGGCTTGCGTGGCCCCTCCGCAGCCCGGAACAGCAGGAACGCACCGGGGGCGGGGCCGCGCGGGGTCTCCCGGGAGTTGTAGTCCGCAAGTGCGCTCGCAGTCTCCGCACGCTCCGCGCGGAGACCCGTAAGACTTGCCTGCGAAGGTGGCGGGGGTCTGCGGGGCTCTAGGGGCTGGCCCCGGGCGGGGATGGGGCAGAGCGCAAGCAACCGGTATGGCCCTGCCGTTGCTGCTGGGGCAGCTGCTGGCGCTCATGGGCCACGGGGGCGCGTTCTACCTTGAGGTCCGCGAGCTGGAGGAGAAGTGCTTCATCCAGGAGATCCCCGATGGTACCGTGGTCATAGGTGCGCGCGCCCGCCACTCCCGGCCTTGCCCTCCCTGCACCCAGAATCCTGAGAAGGGAGGGGAATGGGGCGCCGTGGCACCAGCTCAGGCCCGCACCTTCCCTCCCCTGCCGGGGGTGGGCTGGGGCGGGGAGAATGGGTGGACAGAAGTCTAGCCAAGGCATCCTCTCTTGCCTGTGCGGCGGGCCAGGGGCGCCGAGTCTGATGCAGACTCGAACGATGGCAGAGAAGTCGTGCTGGAGAAGGGAGGAGAAGCGGAGGGCAGTGGTCAGACTCGAGATCTTCCTGTCCCTCGACCCCCCACCCCCGACCACCATGACTTGGTCACGGGGATGGACAGAAATGCACCTCTGTTGCCTCTCCATTAGGTAACTACAAGACGGAGCTCTACGACCCCGCTATGGAAAAGTACCAGCCCTCCCCGCAGTGGATCAATTTGTTCGTGTTTGTGAAAGACCCGGAGAACAAGGTGAGGCAGGCCTTTACTCCTTGCATGCCCCCCAACGCCCCAGCGTCAATGCGTAGCCCTCTCTCGTCCTTCATTTCTCACAGAAGGATCTGGTCAGGCAGGCTACCTCAAGGAGGGCCATGGTCTTTGCCATCTGTATTCTGTATTAGCAGTGCTGGCATCTGAGACTTTCCAGCCAAACCGATGCTATTTCCCTCACACCCACCCCTCTGGCCTGCGGGGGTCTGCACCTGGGATACCCCCAGAATTCTCCTGGGAGCAGGTACTAGGCTAACTTCTCTGTGCTCACTGGAGGCTGCTTCCTCTAGAACCTTCTGGCCCGACAGTATGGCCCTCAGGGCAGCTTCACCTTCACCTCCCAGTCTCCCGGAGAGCACCAGATCTGCCTCCACCTTGAGTCCATCCGGTTCGCCCTCTTCTATGATGGCAAGCTGGTGAGTGTGGCAGGCGGGAGGCCCCTGTCCCCAGGGACTCAATTCCTTGGCCTCTAGAGTGAGAAGGGTGTGGTGGGTGGTGCCTATTGAGTAGGGCTGAGACTTTACCTGAAGCACCCTGACAACCACTCCTGAGGATGAAAGGGGACCTTGGGAGGGAGTCACTCTGACTTAAAACTCTCCCTTGGACATTGCTGCTATAAACATCGGGGTGCACATACCCCTTCGAATCCCTACATTTGTATCTTTGGGATAAATACCCAGTAGTGTAATTGCTCGTTGTATGGTAGCTCTATTTTCAACTTTTTGAGGCCCTCCATATGCCATTTGCAACGACATGGATGGAACTGGAGGGTATTATGCTGAGCGAAATAAGTCAATCAGAGAAAGACATGTATCATATGACCTCACTGATAGGAATTCTTAATCTCAGGAAACAAATGGAGGGTTGCTAGAGTGGAGGGGGGTGGGAGGGATGGGGTGGCTGGTGATAGACATTGGGGAGGGTATGTGCTATGGTGAGCGCTGTGATGTGTGTAAGACTGTTGAATCACAGACCTGTATCTCTGAAACAAATAATATGTTGTATGTTAAAAAAAAAAAAAAAAGAAGATAGCAGGAAGGGAAAAATGAAGGGCGGGGGAATCAGACGGGGAGATGAACCATGAGAGATTATGGACTCTGAGAAACAAACTGAGGGTTCTAGAGGGGAGAGGGGCGGGGGGATGGGTTACCCTGGTGATGGGTATTAAAGAGGGCATGTACTGAATGGAGTACTGGGTGTTATACGCAAACAATGAATCAAGGAACACTACATCAAAAACTAATGATGTAATGTATGGTGATTAACATAACAAAATTTAAAAAATCCAAAAAATTAAAAAGAAATAAAATTTGACAGCAAAAAAAACACAAAAAAACAAAAAACAAACTCTCCCTTGGCTCCCAGCCATCCCTAGGATAAAGACCAAGCTTCATGACGTGAGATTCAGAGCTATTCTGCCTCTGAGTGCTTCAGGGCTCTCCATTGTCACCTCCCCATACAGAACTTCTAGTAAACTGCCTGGCTGAGTCACACCTCTATTTCTCTGCACGTGTAGTCCCATCCTTTGTGTTTTCAATGTAGAACTCCACATAAGCAGGGTTCCGATCTGGTGTTCTGACCCCCTGAGCAGGGCCAGTCACCAGGTCGGTGTGTGAGGAATGGAGCTGCCAGCATCAGGCCCAGATGGGGACGTAGAAGCTAGATTTCTGGCAGGTTCACAGAGCTAAGCTCCCCTGACCCCCATCCTGGGTCCTCCTGTTCCAGGCCATTCACTTGGACATGCAGTTGGGTGAACACACCAATGATTATGCGGAATTTGCGGCCAAGGACAAGCTGACCCAGCTGCATCTGCGTGTACAGCAGCTTGTGGAGCAGGTGGAGTTGATCCAGAAGGAGCAGGAGTATCAGAGGGTGAGGGGCTGGGTTGGCACAGCTGGGGCAGGGGCTGTGTGACCTCCTGGGAAGTGGCTCTTCCGGCCCTTCCCGCCGAGGGGGTGGGGGTGAAATTCAGTTCTAGACAGGTGGCTTCTCCCTTCTCTCCTCCCGCAGTGGCGAGAGGAGCGCTTCCGGCAGACCAGCGAGAGCACCAACCAGCGTGTGCTGTGGTGGTCCATTCTGCAGACCTTCATTCTGGTTGCCACGGGTGTCTGGCAGATGCAGCACCTCAAGAGTTTCTTTAAAGCCAAGAAGCTGGTGTAGTTGGGCCCCAGAAACCTAGCCCCAACTCATTCCCCTTCTGTTAACTGATTGAAAGTGCCCTGGCCTGGTCTATTTCCTGGCTCCCAATCCCCCAACCCTGCAGGGGGAACAGAGGACCTCTTTCAACTGGTTTCTCAGCCAGCATTTGGGAGAGGATGAGTTGCCCACTAGATGCTTGGTCGGGGAGCTGTAGGATTTTGTGGCTTTGTGCTGTTGAGGAGGAAGGTGAGGGTGCCCCCACGCCCCTGGCTAAACCGGATGGATGAACTGTCCCAAGATAGAATTAAGAGTGACTATAAACTGCAACCTTTCTGACCTAAACATTTATTGCCTCCCGCTCTGCAATTCATTCTGGTGTTTTGTTTCTAACCAGATATTAACATGTGAGGCTCTGCATGCATTGGTGGGGACGGATCCTGAAATGGATGGGATGAAGAAAGCTTGTTCTCCAAAAGCCTTAGCAACCTGTGGAGCCCTTTCCAGAAAGGTCCAATTTGGGCCCATCTTATGGGTAACCTGAGTGCTTGTGGTGATCCTGTGCCTCTTTGCGGGCTCCAGTCAGGTTCATGTGCTCTTCTGCTGGGTTCTTCCAGGTAGTTGGATGGGCACCTCTGTCTTCCCACTATTTTTCAGCCAACCTATGTCTGTCTTTATGATGTCACAGGTTGATTTTTTTTCAGAAGATGCTTTCTTTTCTCCTTTAAAAAAAAAAAATAGGATTCCAAGTAATAGTTTCCATTATAGTCGGCATCTCCTATAACTTGACCTTCACATGTCAGAACCTTCACAGGTGTAGATGACCAGGCATCTATGCACCCACTGCAACTGCCTGATCTAGCCCACATTTTACCTCTGCTGGTTGCCCTGTTGGAATAGTCATCTCTCATGTGAATCTGATATTTTCTGTGATAAGGAAATTTCACTGGCTGGCACCCTCAACAAAATGAAGCCCAAATCATCAAAGCTAAGGATGTCAATAAAGGGAGACTCCCCATGAGGAGGGGGATGTGGGGACAGCCCCAGCACTTGGCCCAAGACAGACCCACCCGCCCCTAGGATATGTTTGAGGGACACTGCAAGCCTTGGAGATTCGCTCATTTGTGGGTGTGGTCATGACTGGCCTCTGGAAAGTATGAGTGGACTGAACTGACGGCTGGTGGGGAACCACTGGAGAGTAACCTCAGACAGAGTTTGTGATCTTAGGATTCATTACCCTTACCTGAAGGGGTGTGTGTGTTGGGGGGGTGCTTTGCTCTCTGCCATAGGAGAAGCAGAGCAATCCAGACATGCACATTCTTGCACATGGAGCCTATGGTCTGATACCAAATGAGGCAGGGCTTGAACAACAGGTAAAGGCGATGCATGTTTCTGAGAAGGGTATGTGCTGAGAACGACATGATACTAGCTCTGGTCTAATCTAGATGGTCAGAGAAGGCTGCTTTTTAGAATTGCATTCATGATTAGGAGTTAGCTGGGGGAAGTGTGTTCTGGCCAGAAGGACTAGCACATACAGGAGCCCTAAAGCAAAAAAAGAACATGGCAATTTGGGATACCGAAAGAAAGCCACTATATCATAATCCCAACTCTAAGAGAGACCACAGGACAGATCTGGTGTTCCCTTGGGGTACGGGAAGTGAAAGTGAACCTGCCTTCAGAGCCATACTGCCGGGCCAGGATGAC